TTGATTGTAAGTTAACACACTATGGTTGAATGCTTTGGTCTTTATTATTTCAATTATACGGTTGCAAATTCAATTATGTTGCACTTATAATATTAAGATATATATTTTCTCTCTTGATAGAATGACATAAGAGATATAAATATTTGAAAATATCATTAAAGTCGTAATTATTTAAAAAAAGAAAATTTATTTGATAATTATTTGGAACAATAACATCCTTGATTAATTAAAGGTACTTATCTATCTATATATATTGTCGTAACATTGGTTGATTGAAGGAACCTATCTATATATATTGTTCAAATTAAAATAAATTGTTGTTGCATCTCCTAACATTGTCGTGCATTCATTATCATTTTCAGATTTTCAAGAATATCCTAATAGTGATAATTAAATAATCTATTTTAAATTAATTATAAAACAATGATTCTTTCATATTTACTTTTATCTTAATATTATTTTATATATTTGTCAATATTTTTATAAAGGAAATGATTTGAAAATTATAATAAATGGATGATTTTATAAATAAGATTGGCTAATGAATATAAATTTAAACTAAATGTACTATTTACTTTTATTTAACTTATTTTGAATACAACTATATATTTTCTAACAAGTACATGTATGAGTTCTAATTATTTTATTTTATTTTTATAATTACTCTATTTTTATTTATATTACAATTAAAGTAAATGGTAGATTAATTTATGTAACACATATATCATAAATTAACTTTTATATTATACATATTATTAGCAGGTAAACTTAAATCGTATTATGCATACTGTTTTAGTGAATAATTTGAACAAAATAATTTTATTAAGATTATATTTTTCACCTAACAAATAATTTTTTCCACAAAAATCTAGCTTTTTGTATATGTTGAAGAATTTTTTTTTCCTTTTCTATTTTTTAATACTATACTATATCAAAAAAAAATCTATAGTAAAAAATATGATATTTAGAAATTAGAGATGATATTTTTATTGGTGCATTATATATTGTACACTTGTGAAATTAAATATATTTTATTTAAAAAATCTTAAAAATAATATTTTTCTTACATTTAAAAAATACATTTTCCTTAATTTTTATTCTATTTTTTATTTTTAACTTACATATTTGTTTAGATAATCTTAACATATTTATATCAACTACAAGAAATTAAATTATTGAATACGTAAAAAATATAATAAAAGATCATAGATAAAAAAAATAATAAAGTAAAGTAGAATGAAAAATAATTGATTGAAAAAATGATTGTAACTATTAATATTTATAACTCCCTAACAGTTGTGACAAAATTACATTATTTGCCTTAGAATTATAGCGTATGACATTTTTGGCAATTCAATTTTTTCAAGAAACAAGTCTCACTTTTAAGATAGTTATTTGAAAAATGAACTTTAATCCATTTCAATTATTATAGGGATTTAAAACCCCACAGTGAAATAATGTGTTAAATTTATTTGGCTTAATTTTGATTAAACTAAAAAATAGTTAGATTGTTTATTACTTAAAAGTTGTAATTTTACTTACAAAAGATTGATTATGAATGAATTAACTTGTTACACATGATATAATGAATTAAGGGAAATTACACTTTACCTACTAATTATACGGAAATTTACACTTTGCACACAAAACTTTTTTTTTTTACACTCTACCTAACTTTGATTTTTTGTATACTTTGCCATTTTCGGTCACCGCCGGCGTCATAAAACAATACGTGGCTTTTGTGCCTTATTGCCACGTGTCGCCGACAATGTCCGGAAATGACAAAGTGTACAAAAAATCAAAGTTAGGTAGGCAAAATATAAAAAAAAAATAAAGTTTTGTGGGCAAAGTGTAAATTTTCGGATAATTAGGTAGGTAAAATTTAATTTTCCCTTTTACTAAATTTTGAAAATGACAATGAATATTCATGACCATTCAGTTGTAACTTGTAACTAATATTAAAAATATATATTATATTGGAGTTGATAATGATGATTTGTAACTCATTTGCCCTCATTTAATTAAAAGATTAATACATTTCGAAAGACTACAACTACAATTATTTATCACGTATCAAATAATCATATGTATGACATTAAGTTGGAATTACTAATTTGTACTTGAATGATATAAGGTCTAAATTTAATTCCATTTTTCATAATTTCAAAATTATAAACTCATCATTACATGTAATTTATTCTATAACTATAAAGATAGATAGGAGTAAACATTTTAAGGCATAGTGATGAAAATAAACCACGATGAAGATAATTTTAAATAACATGTATTACAAATTAAAAATAATATTTATTATTTGGCTTGATACTTATTATTTTATATATATAATACTAAGTTTTCTAAATTGTGGAAGCATCATACTAACTTTTCTTTTTTTTTTCTCTATTTCACAAGTCAAGTATCCACAATAAATAATAAAAATACATCCATGATAAAATAAAAAATAATTATAATGTCACAATACTAAAATAATCAAAAGAAATAATGAAAATGAACAACTATCCAAAAGTTACGTTTCTTTTTCTTGAGGATAATTGGATTTTCAAGTTAGATGAATAAATGTATACTCTTGTAATAAATAAATCAATTTGTGGATGATGAAGAATAATAGCTAGGATGAGATTAATATAAATTTTATATGCATGAAAAATAATTGTATATGATGAAGAGAAATGGAAGAGTTACATATATTTATAAAAAAGAAAATATGTGTGTAGTTGTAATGTGATTTAAATTTAATATTATATTATTACGTTTATATTTTTCAAACAAAAGTTACATTTCATTTTTCTTTTCTTAAAGGTAGTATTGGCCGTTCAAGTTTCTATTTAAATGTGGTTGGAGAGTTACAAATCACAATTATCAATTGTAATTTAAAATCACAAATTACATTATCCTTTAAAGTAACATCTTTTGAGGGCAGTATGGGCAATTCGAAATTTTCAAGAAATAACTCATACTTTTAAGGTAGTTATAGATTTATTATTTTTTAATTTCGGTGGACTAGCGGTGGTTGGGTTATTTTTTCAATTCATACTCAAAATCTAAATACTTTAATTTAACCTCACTATCCACAATATTATCAATATAATTAAATAATACGAATCAATCATTCTTACACATCACATCAACTTTAACTCACTATTCACCCACTCACATAATTTTAACTAACCATCACTTACATCATATTTCTCCTACTTTTACATCAAATTAACTTTAATTATTTTTTAAAATATTATTTTAACATAAACTCAAAAAATTCCACTAACAACTAACAATACCACATTTTTCAAAATTAACTCGTTAACAAAAAAAAAAATAAATAAATAAACTCATTTTGAGCGGATATAGTTGTATCCAAGCACACCTTTAAAATATCAAAAACACGAACTCATGCTACTCTCTCTTTCTCTCTCTCTCACACACACAGGTCTACAACCACTTTGACATGAAGCACGAGACTGCAGCCCTCCTGGAGCTTCGAGCAACGCAATCCTCCCGGCGGTGGTTCCTCCGGCACGACCGGGACCACAACGAAGACCTCCTCGACTCCATGCGTCACTTCATCGAGGCCGCCGAGGCCCACTCCTCCATCGACGCCGGCAACAAAACCCGCCGGGCCTGTGCCCAGGCCTCCCTCGTCTCCCTCCAGATCCGCATGCCCGACACCCGCTGGCTCGATCTCTCGGAGACCAACGCCCGTCGCACCCTAGTCGAGCAGTCCCGTTTCCAGGAAGCACTCATTGTGGCTGAGGCATACGGGCTCAACCAGCCGAGCGAGTGGGCCCTCGTTCTCTGGGATCAGATGCTCAATCCGGAGCTTACCGAGCGATTCGTGGCCGAGTTTGTTGCAGTCCTCCCACTGCAGCCGTCAATGCTGCTCGAGCTTGCTAGGTTCTATAGGTCTGAGATGCAGGCTCGGGGGGACCAGTCTCAGTTCTCGGTTTGGCTCACGGGTGGTGGCTTGCCAGGTGACTGGGCAAAGTACCTGTCCAGGTCGTTCAGGTGTTTGCTGAGGAGGACGAGGGATATTAGGTTGAGGTTACACCTGGCAGTTACTGCTACGGGATTTGATGACGTTGTGGAAGGGTGTAATAGGGAGTTGGATAAGGTGCCGGAGAGTGCGGGTCCTCTGATATTGAGGAAAGGGCACGGAGGGGCTTATCTTCCGCTTATGTGATGATGGGTGCTCGGCTTCGTTTTGTTTGTTTTGCTTCGTTTTCTTTTATCTTTCTTTCTTTTGCGTGTGTGTGATTGTGTTTGAGAAGTGATGTGATATGGATGGTGCAGGGCGAGTTTATGTGAATTGGTCCTCTGGTATTTTTGTTTGGAGACAAATGCAAGCAGACTGCTGGTGAGTGAGTTTCTTTTTGGGAATTTTAAGGCATAGTTTTTTTTTTGTCTTTTTGTTTGTTAAATTGAGGCCAAAGTATGGTGTGCTTGTGTAAGTATTTTCTGTACTTATTCTTTACTTTTGTGGTCTTATAATTTTTGGTGGAAATACATAACATGTACAATGTGTATATATCATCCTCTAAATAATGAAATCTGGGGGGACCAGTTTTTGGGGTTTTTCTTGTATGTATTTTATGTGCGCCATGTCTCTATGGTTGTAGAAAATGCAATAAGTTCAATTATTATTATTATTATTATTATTTTTATTATTTATTTATTTATTTATTTATTTATTTTAAGATTCATCCTTGGTGACACACACACATATATATAGTATATATCACTATATTCACGGATTCTCACAAATTTTTCATTGTCCACCAATTATCCAAATCCTAAATCAACAAAAAAAAAAA